ATGTAACGTCCGTGAACCAAAAATGTGATTTTTGGTTGTGTCGATTGACACGTGTGTTTAATTCGCGAAGGAATCTGTTTGCTGGAGCTGTGTCGCGCGACACAAGAGGTTTGTGTCAAGCGACACATGCTTAAATTGGACCGTGTGGTTTTGATTTCTGATCGGGTTTGGTTTGGGTTGGTTTAGGGAACCTAGGGTTCCGTATTTAAGCAGAGAAAAGCGTTTTCTCTTGGGGTTGGCCGAAAATTTGATCAGAAAAAGAGCTTTAGAGAGTTTTGTGAGAGAAGTGTTTTTCTTGAGAGAGAAACAGTTCTGCTCGGGTTTTTGGAGGAGATGATTGGCAGGGAAGATCGGATCAGATCAGAGTGAAACTTTTAGGGTAAGTTCTCCTATCTTTTCTCTTGATGTGGGTGGAAACCGCGTGCCTTTTGGATGAGTATTCGCTGAGTTATGGCCGTTGGATTGTGTGAGGTTTCTGCAGTCTCGAGTCTACGATCAGTCCACTTCGAGGGAGGATTCCCGTCGAATCAGAGAAAATCAGGAGACGATCCTTATGCCGTTGGAAAGCCCTCTCTGTCTAGTTTTTGTATTAGATTTCGAATCCTGATTTGGAGGTAATCTCCGTTCTCTGTGTTCGTTTGATTTCAGGGTGTTGTTTCTGAAATCTCTGTTTTTCCAATTTCGATTAGCGAGATTGCGGGCTGTTTTCCCGTCGATCTGTTTGGAGTTAGGAGACGTTCTATACATCGTCGCGAAGCTCTTGGTGTCTAGTTTCCAGATCAGGTTTCAGACCTTGATTTGATAAAGGGAGTCGCGAGTTATTCCCTTCTGTTCGGGTCGTGTCGGGAGTGCCTTGTTTCCTCGTTTCAATCATTTTGCAAATGTGAGTGCGTGACCGTAGGCTCTCGGATTAGGATTGTGTGGAATACGATTGATTGTGGCTTGTTTTTACTGTGTTTGGTGATTGAATTGTGCAGGATCGTGATATGAGTCCTTGAGATTGAGCCATGAGAGGATAGGTTCAATCTT